AACGGCGCCGGGTCAAGGCCCGGCCGCGATAAGGCCGCGGCGGCGGAACAGGGTGGGCCGCCCCGCCCGGCCCGGCCCGGCCGCCGTGTGTGCTGCCCGGCTGCGGGCGCGCACGGGGTTTGCGGGCCGGGGGCTCCTGGGCCGGGGGCTCCTGGGCCGGGGGCTCCTGGCGCAGCCCCGTGCTGCGCGTGCGCCGCGGGAGCGGGAGTGGAGCACCCGGGGCGGCCCCGGTGGCACCGGCACCGCGGGCTCCGGCTGGGAGCGGCCCTGCCCTGGAGCTGCCTCCGGCGAGGGTCGGACCCGGCGGGGGGCACCGGGCTGGTGGCCTCGGTACCGCTGGGCTCCCCCCGAGCCACTGCGGCCTGCAGAGCCCTGCCGGGGTCTGCCCCGCGCCCCCCGAGCTCCCCCGGGGGCTCCGAGCTGCCCCTGCGCCACGCGGGACCCCGGCGGCTGCGGCGGGGCTGGCGCCGGCTCTGAGGCAGCTCCCGTGACGGCTGCTCCAGGAAGAGCCGCGGCTTGACATCCTTGTGTATGCGGAAGGGCCCAGGAAATTCCGCGGGGCTCGGGGAGCCCCTCGGGGAGGTGCTGGGCGCCTCCCCAGCGAGTTCCCGCTGTTGGTTCCGCGGCGGTGCCGGGCCGAGGGCCGCACCTGCTGGTGGGGGTGCCAGGAGCCAAGGGCGAGAGCGGCAGAGCCGCCGGCAGCCCTGCGTGCGGCCCCTAATTTCCATGCAGATTCTCAGGACCCAGTTACAACAGAACAAGTATCTTGGGGCGGGAAGGTCTGGAAGGCGGCTGGGGGCAGTTGAGCATTCGGGCCCTGTGAGCCTGCCTTTGTTGGAGAGCCGGAAAGGAGGGAGCCGCGGGGCCGCCGCGTCCCTGGGGCCGCTCGGTGTCGGGTTCGGCCCGCGGCGCTCGCCAGGCCCTGGGCAGCGGGTGCCCTCCCGCCCGCGCGGCCCGCGGCACCCCGAGGCTCCCGCTGCCCCGACGGGCCGGCCTGCCCGGCCCGCAGCCACGCGATCCTTATCGGCGCAGCGGGGCGTGCAGCGAGCGCGGGGCGAGGCGGGGCCCCGGCAATCCGAGCCGGGCGGATCGGCTGCCTGCCCGCGCGGGGACAAAGCGCGGAGCGCGGCCCCCCTGTGGTGCCTGTGCCTCCCCGGGGCCCGCCGGCCCGCGCCCGCAGCGATGCCCCCACACGTGCTGCTGTGTCCCGGCGACGGGGGCTCCTGTAGCGGTGGCCGCGCTCTCCCCGCTCACCGCAGCGCGGCGGGGCCGGCGGCAGCGTCCCGCGCGGCCGGGCCAGGCCGGGCGGTTGTGCAACGCGGGCGCGCCCGGCAGTGCGGTGGCAGACGAGCCGCTGTCCCCTGCAGAGCCAGACTTTGCCCCCGCGCAGGGAGTGTCCGCGGGAGCTCCCCGCGGCGCCTCTGCTGCCCGCCGGCCGCTCGCAGGCAGCACCATGGCRGAAAGGAGGCCGGGAGGAGGCTGCTGGGGAAGGGCGAGCGCGAGGAGGGGCTGGGGCTGCAGCCAGAAGGGCTGAGACCCCCGCGCTCGCACCTGGTGCCAGGGGCGCTGCCAACCCCCAGTGAGCGGTCACTGGCATCAGCGGCAGCGAGGGGAGCGTGTCCTGCGCGGCGCTGGGCAGTGCGGGCGGCTCCCGTGCCTCCTGTGGCTCGCGGTGGCCCTGAGCTCCTGCCCCTGCTCCGCGGCACCCAGGGGCTATCCCAGCGGGCGCGTTGCCTTTGAGGCTCCACTATGGGTCGGYTGGCATTTCCATTGCCCCGCTGGGTGCTCGTTGTGGGGCTGCGGCCCCGTTGCTGCCGTCCCCTTTCGTCCTTCCCCTCGGGTGTCCCCGTGGGTGCCCCCACCCGGTCTGGGTGAGCAGAGTAGGGCGCCAAGGATCCACCACAGCGCTGGCTATGAAAACAGGACACTTTTATTGACAAATGTAACTCGTACAGACCACGCGTAACAGGAGGAGAAGAGGCCCCTGCCCGGCGGCGGAGGCGGGCGGGAGGGCCGGGGGCCGCGGGCCGAGGGGGGGCTGCGGGGGCAGCTTCCTGCGCGTGTCACTCATGCGAAGAGCTCTCCTGGCAACCCGAAACTGGCGCTGTTTACCCGAAACCGTCTGTGTTTGCACAGGCGCGCGCAGGGCTCCCGCTCGCGCGGCCCGGCCCTGACCCCGCGGACCCTTCCTCGCGCGGGCCGGCCCGAGCCCCCCCTTAGCCCCCTGCCCGGGGCTCTGCCGCTGCTCCTGCCGTGCCCAAACCCAGCGGCTGCGAGCGGCCCTGCGAGCGCCGCAGAGCCCCCGGCCGCCCTGTCCCCAGTCCTGCTGGAGCTCGGGCCACCCTGCGCATGGGGCAGGGGAGCCGCGGGACCCTCCTTGTTCGAGTAACCCCCCCGTGGCGCTCGGCCCCCGTGCCCTTTGCCCAGGCGAGGCCCCCGCCGCAGCGCAGGAYGACGCCGAGGGGATGGCCGCGTCCGGCTCAGAGGAACGAGTCCTCCCGGGCCTCGGCAGAGGGGTCCCCGCGGGCCGGGCAAGGGGTCTGGTCGGACAGGGGGTTCCTCGGAGCCAGGGAGCCATAGGTCAGAGAGAAAACCCTCCCCGGGGTGGAGATGAAAGTCCGCCCGGAGGCGGCCGCTGCCCTTGCCGGGTGCGCGGCGGGCGGCCCCGCTCCTCACACATAGTTCCTCTTGTCGTAGCTGGTGACGGCGGAGCGCGGCGCCGAGTAGGCCACCTTGCTGGGCGCGTACCTCTCGTCTTTGGGCGGGCAGGAGCAGCAGAGCAGGGAGCCCCCGAAGAGCARCAGCGCCGAGGCCGCCCAGCCCACGTAGAGGGACGTGCCCAGCTCCCGCTTTTGCGGGTCAAGCACCAGCGGGTTGTAGAAATCCCGGATGATGGTGTTGGCCGACCAGGAGACGGGAATGAGGGTCATGATGCCGGAGAGCAGGAAGATGACGCCAGAGACGATGGTGATCTTGGCCTTGGTGGTCTCATCCTCGACGCAGCGGGTGCACTGCGCCCCCACGATGGCCACCAGCAGACCCAGCACGGCCAACACGATGGCCACGACGAGGAGGGCGCGGGCGGCCTGCAGGTCCTGCGGCAGCGCCAGCATGGAGTCGTACACCTTGCACTGCATCTGCCCYGTGCTCTGCACCACGCAGTTCATCCAGAGCCCTTCCCAGATGATCTGCGCCGTCACGATGTTGTTGCCGATGAAGGCCGTGACGCGCCACATGGGCAGCGCGCAGCAGATGATGCTGCAGAGCCAGCCCAGCACRGACAGGGTCACCCCTCCGATCTCCAGGCCCATAGACATGGTGGGCGGCTCCGCGGGCGCTCCGAGGCGGCGGCAGGGAGGAATGCGCTGGCCGGACGCCCTGGCCCGGGGCTGCTGCTCCTCGGCGATGGCTCGCACCTGCGCGCACCTGCGCTTATAAGCAGCGGCGGCGCCGGGGCCGGGCTGCATTACCTCAGCGCGCGGCGGGTGGGGTTTCGCCGCCGGACTCTCCTTTTCACTGGCTCTTTCGCCAGCATCCCACACCCTCCCCTTTGTTTGCAGAGATGGCGCTGGTGCCGGGGAGGGGAGGGAAGGGAGGAGGGCACCTGTGATGGCCACCGGCGGGGGGGACGCGGCGGGGACGCCCGCGACGCCGCAGGCTCTGCCGCCTGCAAGCCAGGCTGGGGCTCCGGGGCGGGAGGACCCCAAGCTGCAGTCCGGTGCCCTGTATGTGCCCAGGAGGGAGCAGGAAACCCGAGCCTGTTGGCTGYGGTTCCAGAGGAAAACACGAAGCAGGAAGCGCCCGTTGCGCTCGCAGGCACTGTCCCCATGTCACCCGGTGCCYGCTCGGCCCCGCGACCCCTGTCCTGCTGAAGCCTGTGGCCATCGCTGCGGTGCCCAAGGGCTCTGCGAGGCGCTGGGAAGCGGCGGCAGGGGCGGCTCTGGGTGCCGGGGCCGCGGGGCCTGCCCGTTCCCGGGCCTTGTGTGGCCCGTGGAGCTGCCCGCGCCGCCTCGCTCGCCGCGGGGCCCTCTGCGCCCACCCCGGCTCTCCAAGTGGGGCAGTGGAGCAGCGGCGCGGGCGGTGCAGGCGGCGCAGGCGGCGCGGGTGGCGTGGCGCGGGGGGAAACCCTCCTTATCGCTGCGGGCCCGGCCTCTGCGGCCGCCATGCTGAAGGTCACAGCTTGTTTTATTATCTGTACCTCTTCATCAGATCTCACGTTTAACATAGTGTCCAAAAGGAGGGCAGTTTATTTAAGATTAGAGCCTTGTCGGCTTTTTTATCCACTCCRAGATTGCTCCTTATCGGCCCGTGGCCCGGCAAGCGCCGGGAACACTGGGGCACCTTTGCATTATGTGCAAAGTGCAGCAGGAGCTCAGCCGGCGGCGCAATGCGGGTCCGCGCGTGGAGGGCGATGCACCCGTGGGCTCCGTGGCGGCTCCTCGCGCAGCCCCTGAGCCCCTGTGCCGCCCCTGCGGGCCTTGGTGCCGCTGCCAGGGGAGCCAGGGGCCCGCGGAGCCTCCTCGGGGCTGCGTCCCCACGATCCCCGGCCTGGCAGCAAATGGCTTTGCTCATCCTGCCTGAATGTCTTGTCCTTGAGTTTATAGGGAGCAGKGCAGGGAATTGCTCCGTGGCTGTCACTGCCCTGATCTCGCCAGCCTGGACGGTGGGACAGGCCGCGGAGGACGCAGCGCGCGGGGGAGGCTGCCCGGGCCCCGCGAGGCGGCCGCGGCGCCAGCTCGTGCAGCAGCGTGGCCATGGCGGGACCGCGTGGTGCCCGCGGTGCCCAGGGGCAGCCAGAGCCCCAGGTRGGGCCTTGTGGGCACCCACGTCCCCGGGGCCCCGGGAAGACGGCGTGTCCGCGCCCCGCTCGGCTGCGGCCGTGCCCTGCAGGTGCGCGCTCCCTGCCGCCCTCCCGACACGCACGGCTGCATCTCGGGCCAGGTATTTGCAGCTCCCCCCTCCCCAGGAATGTGCTCGTGTCTCCATCGCCCTGCGCAGCGGCAGGACACGCGGCGCTGCTGCCCGCGGGCTSGCTGCCGCCCGGCCCCTCGCTCCGCCACGGCCTCCCCACCACTTATTAACTCCTGCAGTGTGCGGTGCTGGGGGGCTCCRGGCAGCCGCTCTCCCGGCCCGAGCGCTCCCCTGTGTGCGGCACGAGGCTCCTCACTGGGCAGAGCGGGGCAGGTCTCGGTKCGCCCCATGGGTTGGTCTCTGCCACCCTGCAGCACCTTGACACCCCGCAGCCACCCACGTCGGCCCGCGCCACTCCGGGCACCCTGCTGCGCACTGCATCGCTCTCTGCCACCCTGCCGCGCTCTCAGTGGGTCTCTCGCACCCCACAGCACCCACCTCGTGCACGCACACAGGTGCAGGTGCACTCAGGTGCATGTGCACGTGCTCACAAATGCACGTACAATGCCCCCCCCGGCAGCCCCTGCTCCGGGCAGCATGCGTGTATGCGCAGGGGTGATGACAGGCTCATGGGTGCACACGCACTCTGCACCTAGGGCCGGGCGGTGCTTGTCCCGCAGGCAGGACACGCGTGCAGGGACACGCGGAGCGGCGCTGCCGCTGTGCGCTCGAGGACGCCGCCCGCAGCGGCCTGCAGAGCAGCCCCGCGCAGGCGCGCGCGGCGCCCCGGCCTTGGGGAGACGCGCGGGCGGGTGCCCAAGACGCAGGTGCGAGCAGGCGCAGGCGTGCGCGGCGCAGGGGCACGCGCCAGAGCGGGCGCCGCACTGTGGGGCACGGGCAGCAGCCAGACCGGGCCCTCGCGCAGGGTGACGTGCTGAGGCAGCAGGGATGGTCTGGGACCGTGTGGGGCAGGAGGATGGCGATAACCCCAGGGGGATTCGGGCTGGGGTGAACAGGATAACCCTGGTGGGATGTGGTGCACGGAGAGGAGGATAAATTCTGGGATAGGGGTGTGGGTTGTGGGGCAGGAGTGCAGTCCGGGGCTGGGAAGCAGCGCCCCGGCAGGGACGTGACCTGTGCCTGCAGCCCAGCAGCGGAGGGGCGAGTTGGTGCCGAAATGACAGACAGTTTTCATGTATTTGCCCAGCAGTCGGAGCAATGGGGCTGCAGGAGCCCAGGGGTGACACGTGGGAGCTGGGGTGCTCAAGGCGCTGCCACCCCCTGCCACAACCTCCTCCGGATGGCGCCGTGTCCCAGCCCTGCCTCCTGTCGGAAAAAGCCCCCGGGCAGCAGCCCCGTGGGCCCCGCGCCCGTCATCCCCAATTGCTCAAAGTACAGGTTGTGCAAAGCGGCGCGCGGCGAGCGCTCCCGCTGCCGGCGGCTGCTCCGCGCGGCTCCCYGGCTGACTCAGGTGAGAGGCAGGCTGGAATGCTCGGAGCGGGGCCGGCGCTGGAGCCGCGGCTGCCCCGCGTGTCCCCGTGCRGACAACAGCCCCACGGTGCTGGCAGAGCAGGGTTGGCGTCCGCACCACGGGCAGGAGGATCCGCGGCCTGCAGCTCGTCCTGGGGCCGGGCAGACGCAGGGGCTTCGCGAGGCACAAAGGGGACACGGCAGCGCTGCCGCAGGGCTGTGCCGGCCCCACAGCCACTCCTGCGCGGCCGCCACGCGGCAGGAAGGGCGTCGCGGCCCTGCTGTGGGCCGCGTCGCCCTCGCCCCGAGGCGGCCGCTCCGCCCGGCTGAGAGGCCAGCGTAGAAACCCCCGCGGGCGGCACGGCCGCGCGTCCCGCGCACGTGCGCGGTGGGGCCGGCAGCAGGCCCGGGGTGTTCCCCCGCTTTGTGGTCTGGGCAATGACGGTGCGTTTCATCCCCCGGGGAGCTGGGCCGGGACGGTAAATGCCGCCGTGTGTGCTTATATTGCAGGAGCCGGGCGGCCGGATCTGCCCCGGCCAGGGCACACAGCTCCATTGTCGCAGCCCCTCCCGTGACGGCGTGGCAGGTAAGTTGGCGCGCGGCATCAATGGCAGCTTTGTCCGGCCCGCCGAGCGGCCGCGGGGACGGGGGCACCGGCCCCCACCCCATCGAGGGCCACCCGTGACGCCAGTGCCCCAGCCGGGACGGGCCTGGGGGTGCCGCCAGGGCCGGTGCCCGGCACCGCCGCCCCTGCTGTCCCCKCCGGCCGCGCTCTCGGAGCCCCTGATGGAGCCGTGCCGGACGGAGCTGCCCTCCTTCCGAGGACGGGGCTGCCGCCTCGCACGTCCCCTTGGCTAAGGGCTCAGTAGCACTTGAATGTGTCTTGCCAATTCTGAGCCTCTYTGAGCTCAGTAAGTTGATAATCTTTTACCTCCCCCCGCCTCCCGCCGTGCGTTTAGCCGGGCGCTCCGGGTCTCCAAGTAACCCCTGCTGCRTGCACAAACACCACTGACTGCAGGAAAGGCTTCCTGAGCACCCGCGCTCGCCGCTGAGCTCATAAAACCATTTTGGCTTCAGACTGCTGGAAATAACCTTACCGTGCACATTTGAGCCGGTCAGAGAGTTTTATGTCGGGAAAAGGACTTTTTGGGAACATTCAGTTTCTCACAAGCGTGTGAGTATGTGGGTAAATAATCCGCTGGTTGAGCTGTTTGGCGGTTGGTGTCCGCCGGGAGGGAGCGGCCGCGTCAGAACAGTCACGGCGGCTCGAAACGGAGAGYGGGAGAGTTCGTGACCGTGACTCATCCCGTCGGGGTGAACCCGGGACCGCGGCGGCTCTCCGGTTTCTCCGACGGCTCCGCCGTGAGTTTGGGATGTCATCCATGACATCATGAAATCGGGAGCTGTGAGTCTGTGACTCAGCCTCTGCATGTGCCCRGGAATGGGCGCTTGGCCCAAGGCTGAGCGCCCTTGCCTGGGCTAGCAGGAAGTACTGCAGGGAAAGGGAACGGTCCGTATCCTGGGAAGGCCCTTGCTGTAAGCAGCAGGATCCCTGCGCAGAGCCCTCTCCCTGCAGTTGCCCTTCTCCCCTGCACAAGGGCGATGTTGGTACCTGACCCCGGGCTCATCTAACGCCGCCCGGGCTTTGCTGCCTCCTCCTCACAGCTCTCGCGCCGAGGGTCTCCCTGCTCGGCCGTGGGGCTGTGTGGGGCATTTCCCCTCTCCCGGTGAGATGGTTCTCACCTGTGGAGAGCAGCTCTGCAGCCTGTGGCCAGAGATTTGGTGCCGGTGGCCGCTGTGCTGAGACCGGAGCCCTTCCCGCTCCAGTCGATGCTTTTCATCAACATGTGGTGCGTTGGGGCTGGAGCTCTGTTCCCCCCACTCCTACAAACAAACTCCTTGTTTGCAGAGTGGGGCACCCACAGCTCAGGTGGGTGCTGGAGCAGGCGCAGGAGGTGGGGTGGGCATCCCATTTAGGTGGAGAGGAGATCCCTGCTGCACRGACAGGCTAGCTGCTGGGACAGGTTGGAAAGGGTTCGTCAGGGCAAGTTGTGCCCGTGCTCCACGTGTGGTGAGAGGTGGGCATCTCCTCTGCTGCGCTTTGCAGCTCAGGGCCTGGAAAACACCACTTGCTTTGCACGGTGCGTCTATCTGCAGGGGCTGGGCAGGGCCCATGGGTGCCCCTGAGGGGCTGCCCCTGCTGGGTCGGGCAGGCCGGTGCTGTGAGAGGCCGTGGGGACGGGTGGTGTGGAGCAGGGGCTGCCCTGAGCCGGCTGCACCAGCGGAGACGGGGAGAGGAGAGGAGAGGAGAGGAGAGGAGAGGAGAGGAGAGGAGAGGAGAGGAGAACGCTCTGGGCGCTGTGCTCCCTGGGCAGCCTCCGCCCTGGTGAGATGCCCTGGCAGCCCTGTCGTGGGCAGCGGGGGCCGGGCCATGTTGCTGTGGGGCTGGTGTCTGGATCTCGCAGGGTCCACACCAAGATCTCCAAGGTGCCACCCGCCTTCGCCAACATCGGCYAGGGCTCCATGTGCATCAAGGGTGGGATGATGCTGCAAGAGGAGGTTGCTGCCCCTCTGTGCCCTGCCTGGCCACTCGGCTTGTGTCTGTACATCCAACTGGCCGCGATGGCTCCTCGCGGCACCTCGGCTCGGGTTCAGTGCCATGGACTGGCCCGTCACACCAGTGGACGATCCAGCCACAGGGAGACACGGCGTGGGCCCATTCCCCGGTACAGGTTTCGGGCTAACTGTGCGGCACTTGTTTGCGTGGTGAATGAGCTGCTGGGGAATGTGGGCAAGGGCAGCAGGGGAGTTTCTTGGTGGCAGAYACCAGTTTAAATACCTGTCACATTCTGGCCTTAATGACAGGACTCAGCCCTCAACGAGCCTTGCTGGTGCCTGCCTTGGCTCCATGGGTGCGCGTGCGTCGCCCTGCACCTGCCCCGGTGATTGAAGCTCTGCACGTGGAGAAGTCGCTCTGTCCCCCGGCCGTCTATCCCTGGCCTGGGGGCTTGTCACTGTGTACCCAGGGACACGCAGCCCATGGGACGAGCCGGTGTTTGCCTGTGCAGAGACRCGCACCGCGCTTGTCTCCGGCCCAAATAGCACTGTGGTTAGGGCAGCAGCCTGGGAGGTGACAACGACATTCAGCCTTGGGCAGGGTCAAATGCCGCGTCCCAGCCGGAGGATGCTCCGAGCGGGGCGGATCAGGCCCTGCTGTTCCCTCGCAGATTAAAGGGGACCTGACTACAAGGCTCCTCTCTTTGGCTCGAGGGGCGAGTTTGGTATTCAAACAATGTGGGTGATCCAGCAGTGGAGACAGACTGAGGAGCCTCTCAGGGTAAACAGACCTGGGTGGAGACCCGGCCCGTCGTGCACGCGGGCGGGCGGCGCAGGGAGCCCCGCTGCTCCCCGCRTCCTTCCCGGCTCCGCGGCCGCTGCTCAGGGCTGTGTGGGCGCATGGCCAGTGCTGCCAGGACACTGACCTGCTCCGCGAGGGCTCCTGGGCCCTGGTCCCCATCCCCGAGAGCCCGCCCRCACCCCCAGCCCCGGCGCTGGCCGCGGTCCCTGCAGCCTGTGCTGGGGCTGCAGCAGTGGCACCGCCATCCTCGCCGAGTGCAGCTGCCGGGGCCACCAGCCTCGTGGCCATGGCTCGTCCTGCCGGGCTGCGCTCCCCAGCCTCGGTTCCCAACCCCGGCCTGGCCACAGCGCCCGCCTGCAACCCACAGCTCTGCCYGGCGCCACAGCACTAATAGCTAATAACCCTAATAACTTATCCACCCAGCGCCTGAGCGCTCCAARACACCCAACGCTCTCAGGTTATCTTTGCCCTAGTGAAAGCCACAGTGAAGCTCGAAGGGCAGCTGTGCCTGCCCGTCCCCGTGCTCCGGCCCTCACCCTGTGCGCGTGGCAGGGAGGCGGCGAGAGGGAGCGGGGGGCCGTGTGGGCTCACGGGGTAAAGCAGGAGGGGTCTGGCCGAGCCGCGGGGCTGCCACGTGGAGCCGCAGGGCTGAACTGCACAGTGGGCACGGCGTGGCATCGGGGTCCCGCTGCCCCGGGCTGCGAGCGCCCCGCGCCACTCGGCTGCTTTGTGGCATTGCGGTGCCCGATGCCCTCTGGGCAGCCCCTGCGCCGCCGGCGCTGTCACCTGCRCCTCTCTTCTCCTGTGGGTGCTGGGTGCGCTGCGTCCTTGCCCTGCCTGGTGAGCCGCATCTCCCTGGTCAGCACTGGGAGATAAGGGCAAACCTCAGTGGTTGCCTCATTTTGGACCCGTTACCCGTCGGGAAGCAGAAACCCTGGTGCAGGCACGCGGTTCACCCGGGAACACACGCGTGTTGCCCGGGGAGTCGGCACGTCCCGAGCGGCAGCCAGAAAGCAGGAAGCACGAAGCTGAGCGGCGCGGGTGGGCTGGGAGGCGGCTGCTTTCCCTATGCATGATCCTGACGTTTCCCAGGCCTGAGCCGCCCGCAGCGAGACGCGCGGCCCCGCTCTGCTGCCGCCTGGGGCTCCCCACGGGCCGCCCTGCACGTCTCGCCCGCTCCGCACGCTCCTGCCCGGCGAGGCCGGGCCGTGTGTGCAACTCGCGCTGCCATCAGACTTTCCCGGCAGCTCTTTCCGCCCTCTAGCCACGAGCGAGGTGGACGGGGCTGTTTGGGGGCCCTTTGCAGCCCCCGTGTCCCTGTGCGGCCTCCGCCCCTCGGCCCGCCCGGGCCCTGTTGGGCAAGAGGGGCTGTCGTGTGAACCTGGCCGGGGCAGGGTGGGCTGGAGCGCGGGGTCGGCCCCAGCCCSGGGCGGCCCGCGGCAGCTCCGACCGGTTTGTGGGTCTCGGTGGCGGCGGCGACACCTCCCGCCTGGGGCCTAATTGTGGGATRGGAAGTGATGGGCAGATGCCAAGGAACAAAGAGGAGCCGCTCGCGGCCCGCGGCCGGCGGGGAAGGGCGCTGAGCGGGCCGAGCCGCGGCGCCCCCGAGGAGGCGCGATGCTCCCGGGCGCTCAGCTGGCACCCCACGAGCTGGCGCAGACCGAGGCGCGAGGCGGCCGGTGCCTCCGTGCAGGGCTCGGATCTGGCATCGCTGCCAGGCTCTCCCTGCATCAGGGTGGCCTCATCCCGGTCCCCATCATCTCTTTCTGGGAGCAGCAGGAATATTAAGTGTCATTGCTGTGGGGAGAAATGCGAGTGGAGGAATCCCGGGGAACTGGTTTTACCCCTTCGTACTGTGCGGACCGGCTGGAGCGAGGGGGCTGGAGCTCCTCCCTTGGCGAAGGCATATAACGCCTCCAATGGTCCCGGGAGCCGGCACTGCGGCGCTGCCGGAGCCGGGCACGCGTGTCGGCACGGGCRGCGAGCGATGGCTTCCATGGGGATGCAGGTGCTGGGCATCGCCCTCTCTGTCATCGGCTGGCTGGGCACCATCCTGTGCTGCGCGCTGCCYATGTGGCGYGTGACGGCCTTCGTCGGCAACAACATCGTGGTGGCGCAGATCATCTGGGAAGGGCTGTGGATGAACTGTGTGGTGCAGAGCACGGGGCAGATGCAGTGCCGCGTGTACGACTCCATGCTGGCGCTGCCGCAGGACCTGCAGGCCGCCCGCGCCCTCGTGGTCATCGCCATCGTGCTGGCCGTGCTGGGCACCCTGCTCGCCGTCACCGGCGGGAAGTGCACCAACTGCGTGGAGGACGACAGCGCCAAGGCCAGGGTCATGATTGGCTCTGGGATCATCTTCGTCATCGCCGGCATCATGATCCTCATCCCCATCTCCTGGTCGGCCAACAGCATCATCCGGGACTTCTATGACCCGCTGGTCTCGGAGTCCCAGAAGCGGGAGCTGGGCTCCTCGCTGTACGTGGGCTGGGCGGCCTCGGCGCTGCTGCTCCTTGGCGGCCTCATCCTGTGCTGCAGCTGCCCGCGGCGCGGCGAGAAGCCCTATGCTGCCAAGTACACGGCGTCGCGCTCCGTGCCAGCCAGCAACTACGTGTAGGAAGTGCCCGGCGCACTGCGGGGCGCCTCGCCCGGCGCGTGGCTCGGCGCCTCTCCCCCGTGCAGACCCCTGGGCACGGGGCCGCCCCGCGCCGGCCGGGTGCTCCYGACAGCGGCAGCGCTGCGGGGCAGCCCGGGGAGCAGCGCTCCCCTTGGCTGGGCCATGCAGGCTGCCCACCCGCCCCGCGGAGGCAGCACCTGCGGGCGCTGCGGGGCCCTGTGCTCCCGGCGTGAAGCATCGGCGCTGCTGCCCGCTGTGCAGGAGCGGAGGGAGGCGCTCGAGGGGCCGCAGCGAGCGCGGGCAGCCCCGCTGCCCCCCTGCGCCGGGCCGGCGCGCAAAGGGTGCGGGCGGCGCGGAGGGGCAGAGCGCACAGAGCTGCCTTTGTTCGCCTGCGGATTGAAGCTGGATCTTTAATCTCAGCCGAGACAGAGAACAGAGAGATCCCGTCCCGGTGCCCTCCCTCTGCGACCCGCCGGCCGAGCGGCCCTGGCAGCCGGCCCGGCCCTGCTGGGGGCACATGCCCTCCCGGGTGCTGCTGGTGCCTGCGCGAGGGGAAACGCGGCCGAGGGTCTGGGAAAGACTGGGGCTCTTGCCGGCCCTCGGCACCGTGGTGTGTGGGGCTGCGCCGCGGCTCCGAGTGCGCCCAGCTGCACCGCGGCTCCGAGTGCGCCCGGCTGCAGCCCTCGCGTCCGCACGGGCAGTACGGGCTCCCTCTTCAGCACGGGGACACCGCGATGGGGGACTGCCAACCCAGCCCGTGCAGCTCGGCTCCTTCTCGCTCCAGGGCACGTGGTGCCTTGGGTGAGCCCGGCACGGTGCAGAGAGTGGTCCAGGGGCTCTCGATCCCTCTACCCTCTGTTTTTACTTTGACCTACTTTTGGGGCTTGCATTTGCGTAGCTGGACCTATTTATTGCTCCTCTCGGCTCCTCGGGGCGGGGGTATCATTATCCTGGGAGTGGGAAGACAGCAGCTGGGCTGGGAGAACCGGTTGGGGAGGGAGCAGCAGAGCTGGGCAGGGGCTGCGCCCGGGCGAAGGCTGGCAGCCCTGGCACCGGGGTGCCCATGCCCAGCACTGCCCCTGCTCGCGGGGCACAGAGCCCCGATGGGCTCCCTGCATGCAACGCTGCTCCCGAGCAGCCAGCAGCTGCGCGGGGTGCCCCGGGCAGGACAGGGTGACTCGCGCTGACCCYGCCGTGGTGACATCCGCACAGACATCCCACATTAAACGGTAGCTGCTCAGCCCCCGCTGTGCTTCGTTTTCTTTACCCTCCCCAGGTTTGGCCTTGGTCCTGGGACAGCCAGGGCCTGGTGGCTCCTGTGCCACAGGAACAACGGCTTGAAGCGCCTCCAGACCTGCCTGCCGGGCCTCGCACTGCCCAGCCCCTGCCCCGGCCTCCAGCCCCAGCGCCGCCGCTCCGCGCCAGGCGGACGCAGCAGGCCGGGCGCCGGGCTTGGGCGATGCCGCGGAGGAGCTGCCTGCTCGCGGGGCTGGCAGCAACCGGGGGCTCAGCGCTGCCCGCCCTGGGTAAAGCTGGGCAATTTGCTTATTTTGCTTCCAGCGGTGTGAATTGAGGCCATGCCCAGCCCGGCGCCGGGTCCAGCCCCAGGGACTTCCTTGCCTCGAGGCGCAGGAGCGCTGACACCTGCCCCGCGCCCGCCTCCCACGCTGCACGCACGAGGCTCGCGCTGCCGCCGCCGGTTACCAGCGCCAGGGCTCACAGCTTCCCTCCTTCTCCGTGTTGGGAGTGGGAATGCGGGAAATAGTGACCCCTCTCCTCCCCACAAACGCTCCCTCAGTCCTGTGGTGCCGGGAATGGTGGCAAACGGACAGAAACGGGAGTGTGAGGAATTTGCTGGCTCACTCCTTGCCCCCTACCATGTCCCGTGCTGCTGTGTGCTGATGCGATGGGCACGGTCGTGGCCTGTGGTTTGGTTGTCCCTGGGCACGGAGCAGCTCGGGGCTGGCTGGGAAGCGCGCCCGGGTTAGCGCTGCTGTGAGCCCCTGGCCTGGCGCTGCTGCCGCCCAGGCTGCTGCTCCCCGCGGCCCTGCCGGCCCCGGCGCTCTGCACCCGCCCCGGGCTCAGGGCTCGGTTTCTCCCTGCGGATGCTGATACTCGCGAGCTGCCCACGAAGAACAGAGGAGGCAGTGAGGAAGGAGAGGTCACAGAAACCGAAACTGGGCACGGGGAACGGAGGCGAAACCTCCACAGTTGCCGCAGGGTGTGTCGGACACGTACCCTGGCACTGCCGAGGGCTCCATAAAACCCTGTTGTGTCGGCAGGAGCGCCGTGCGGCCGCTCGCGCCGCTCGGCAGCGCCCGGCAGCCCCTGCTCGGTGCCCTCAGCCTCGCCAGCGCCAGGGCCTGACAGGGCTGCACGCGGAGCCGGGCGCCCCACGGCACGGCGCTGAGCAGCGAGCGGGGCCCGGCCCTGGGCACGGCCCTGCCGCGGCCCCCGGCGCCTCCGCGGGGATGAGCAGCGTCCCTCTGCTCCCACCCCACGATGGCTCCCCGTGCCGCGCCTGGCGGGAAAGAAGAGCCGGTATCGCTGAAAGTGCTGAGCACTGGAAGTCAGTATCAGGGAAGGTGTGAGCTCTGACCTGCTCCCAGCGCCCCGCAGAGGCAGCCGCGGGTCCAAAGGGCAGGGCAGCGGGCAAGGGCAAAGCTAAACCTCCCCTTGAGCTGAGCACAACGGGTGTCGTTGCGAGGGCAGGGGGCTGCCGCATGGCGTGGTGCYCGGCCCAGGTGCCCCCTGCACATGCTCCCCTATGGACAAGCAACTGGCTGGGGAGGTTGGGCTGAAYCCCTGTGATGGACCAGGACACACGGTGCACCTTCTGGATTGGCCACCATGACCACACTGAGCCATACAGAGGAGCAGGACGTGGGTTGGTTGCGGGGCACTGGGCCGCGGGGCAACACAAGCCCCTTGCCCACATTACACAGCCCCACGTGCCCAAATCCCTCCCCTCCCATTCCCATGGTGGGCACGGGGCAGGTCTCCAGAGCCGCCCCGCCAGGCTCAGGCACCGGGGGCTGCACCAGGTGAGCAGGTCTCGTCCCCCCCGGCTCAGCCCCTGGGGAGCCGGGTGCTCCGCGCTGCCCGCGTGGCCCCGCGCAGCCCTGCTCCCGCGTGGCCCCGTGCGGCCGCTCCCGCGCACACGGCAGCATGGGGCTGCGAGCATGAAGCAGCACCCCGCGCGCCCAGCGCCGCGGGCCCGGTGTGACCGCTCTGCCCTCTCCTAGCAGGTCCTGCTCATGGAGATGATGACGATGCAGCTGGGTGGCCAGGTGCTGGCCACGCTGGGCTGGCTGGGCACCATCCTCACGTGCGCGCTGCCCATGTGGAAGGTGACAGCCTTCATCGGCTCCAACATCGTGGTGGCGCAGGTCTTCTGGGAAGGGCTCTGGATGAACTGCGTGTACGAGAGCACGGGGCAGATGCAGTGCAAGGCGTACGACTCCCTGCTGGACCTCACCTCCGACCTGCAGGCAGCCCGTGCCCTCGTCATCACCTCCATCATCGTGGGCTTCTGCGCCTTCCTCACCTCCATCGCGGGTGCTGACTGCACGCGCTACGTGGAGGACAAGGAGGCCAAGACGAGGGTCTCCGCTGTGGCAGGCGCCATCTTCATCATGGCCGGCATCGCGCTGCTCATCCCCGTCTCCTGGTCCGCCAACACCATCGTCAGCAACTTCTACAACCCCATGGTGCCTGAGGCGCTCAAGAGAGAGCTGGGGGCTGCCCTGTACATTGGCTGGGCCTCCAGTGCCCTCCTGATCTTCGGCGGAGGCATCTTGTGCTGCTCTTGGCCCCCCGCCCAGCAGGATCCCTACCAGAAGAAGTACAGAGCAGTGAAGACCTGTGCYCCTATGAGCTACCCCATGAAGGACTACGTGTGAGAGTCCTTCGGGGGAGCCGCTGCTCCCAGTTCAGCTCTCCCGCTGGGCTGCAGGGCCCCAGAGTGCCCGGGAACCCTGCCAAGCCTGGCCATGGTGGTTCATCAGGCCCCTGCCCGCCCCAGAGCTCCCTTCTGCCTGCGTCCCACCACCGCCCTCCCGCCGTCCTACCCCAGCGCGCCCTCCGCCCCTGCTGCCACCCGGGCCCCTGCAAGGACAGGGGCTCCGCTCTGCCCACGCTGCCTGCACGGCCACCCCGAGGCAGGGCCGCGCGGGCAGGGGCTGCTCCCGCGCCCTCGGCTGCTGCTGCCTGCTCCCCCATCGCTTATAAACGTCCTGGTGCCACCAAGGCTGTCTGGGCTCATTTCAAACGGGTCGAGGGCGGTGGGGGGAGGTTCCTACCGCTTTTCCCAGCTCCAGCTCCTTTGCTGCTAACTTGGGGGGTGCTGTCCCCAGCACGGCAAGGGACACGCACCCACACACGTCCCCCTTGGCCTTGGGCTGGTGCCCGACAAGGAGCCACGAGCAGCCCGAGCGTTTGCCCCCTGCACGTGGCTCCCGCACGCTGATGGGGGCCTCCCGACGGCGTCTGCCACAGGGAAACCGAGGCAGGAAGGGGGCAGCGGGGCCAGGGTGCCGGCCCCCCGCAGCCCCCCGGGTACACCTCGGGGCACACAGCTCAGCCCGYAGCGCTCGGCCGCCCGCGCCCCGGCCCAGCCCGGCCCGGTGCCCCTGCCCGGCCAACGCTCCCTCGCGCGGGCTGCAGGGGCAGAGCGTTTATTTGAGACGCCGAGCGGCACGGGGACCACCACAGCCCCCCACTCCCTGCCTCGCTTGGTGCCCTGGGATGGTGCTTGGGGGATACAAGGAAAAACGAACCGAGGGAGAACACGAGGCAGCGTCTGCAGGGTGGYGAGAGCTGCCAGCGACCACCRCGGCGCATCCCCGCTGGTGGCAGGRCTGGTGGCACCACGAACCTCAGGCACGGGGCAGCAACCAGCGGGGCGGGAGATCCAGGCAACACGAGCAGAGAGCAACCACTGCAGAACACAGGGAAGGCTGAGGGCGCCTCTGATGGGGGTGCGAGCTGGGGACACACTG